ATCACTTCTTTGTATTAAAACACCTATTTCTAGTGAGATCAATAAGCAGCTCTGAAAGAAGTTCTAGTAGTTGAATAAAACACACACTTTATATGGATAGGAGCAAGTTTCTGGAGAAACCTGTTACATGAATCCTTGTTAAAGAGATAAGCTAGGCCCCAACGCATCCTTTTCTGATAGTAGTAGCTTTGCAAACAGGTAAAAAGCTTTGTGACACGGCCAATCCTCTCTCTTTATGTGTGACCCTATGTTATCTCACAGTAGCAATGCCAATGGAAAGAGCAAGTGAGGCACTTGGATATCCTTTCGAAAACTCTAGGTGTTTAGCGTCTGGTAACTCTAGGATCGTTTGAGGAATCTTGCACTCTCCTTCTTTCTCCTCTCACGCTCTTTGAAGAGAGGTGATGACTGCAGCTGGGCTTTAAAGTTCCCCTGCTCTTTCAAGGAATACACAGGAATACCTACAGTGGTCTTGAGAATTGTTATACTATTTATGGTGCTAAAAGACAGGAGCCATGCAAGCTAGAGCCAGTGATGGGATGGTACCACCCTAGTGACAAGATTGTGAGTAACCTCTGCAGGCTGGAACCTGATGAACTTCCCATCCTTGAAGCTGGATTTTTCCATTTGATCAATTCCCAAGCATGCTAATCAAAGTGGTATCACTCTTGGAAATACCCTAGAGGAACAAACAATATAATGTATTGAAATGGAATGAAAACCAGGCAAAGGCATGGGTGAGGTGCAGCAGCTACCAACAAGTATTGAGCTGCCTTGCTCAGGGCAGTATCAGAAAGAAAAAATAAGGTAAAGGTGGAAAAGGGAGTGGATTTTATTATCTAGGTTCAACTATGTCTACATGGATTGAGCACGGCTGTGTAAAATGTATCTTGTCTGAACCCTCAGTCTCTGCTATGGTTGGTCAAATTGAGGTGAGGTGATATCAGGCGGTAGGTACTCATTGGCCCCCTCAGGGGAAGAGGAGGGTAGGGCTGTCCTGGAAGCAGGAAGGTTGAGTCACTCAGTTCTATTCTCCTACAAGTAGTCATGCAACATAGGAGATTAGATATGTAATGTGTACTGTCGCCAAAGTGGTAAATGAATAAAGAAGGTTGTAAAGGAACGGAAACTCATTCAAATGAAATTGTGTGTGAAAGTGAGTAGGAAATACACTGCAGAAAATAATAAAAGAATAAAAACTTTAAAGTTAAAGGAGCTGAAAATTTACAGATTCTTAAGTAGTACTGCATTACCAGAGCTATTTGCTGGGCATTAACAGTGACTCCCCGTTTCCCAGTGATTATAAGGATACACCTAAAATTTTCTAGGTATGACTGTCATATATTAGGAGATACCTTTGGAAAAACTCTTACTTTAAAATTTTTCTCTCCCCTTTTAAAAAAAAAAAATTTTTTTTGATTCTCCAAATCTTGGTGAGAGTTTGAGAACTTGTGGGAGTATGTGGGGGTTGCATCTGCCTAAAAAGATCATCCATAGTCTTAAGCAGTTACCAAATGTATAAGTATTCCATATCGTGAGAGCAGGGAAACTCCCTAGAGCTTCTTTATCTCTGAAGCTAGAATGAGTTTTCTATCTTCAAAAGCCCTGTCCTTCTTTCCAAGTAAATACTCAAATTATAATATCCAGGGTTGTCTGGAGAAACAAACTATATTGCCTAGAAAGTAAACTACTTTTTCCCAAAGATAGTCCTAATAATTTTAAAATACCCAAAAGTTAGCTGGATGTTTTCAAGAACAAATACATGTAGTCCTTGTGCAGAATAATCTAATCATGAGGCATGTAAAGAGGACCACTGGAACTCTGAAGACCTCTGTTTGGTTCCTGATTCAGTCACTGAATTTCTCCCCATGACTGTCAACGTCATCCAGTTTTCCTATACCTCATTTCCTCAAGTGTAAAATGGAGCTGATTTTCCATAATTCAGGTTGATGCTATGAAAGCAGAGATCTTTATGTTTTCAGAATGGTAGGACAGAGGACTTGGACTGCACAGACAAATCTATTCATTGTTTTCCTTCACTGTGTTCCTACAGGACCTACTATAGAAATGTGTTAGAAAAGTCACTACCACCATTATTCCAAGTTATTCAAACATGAAGTTCTGACACAATGACAACTGGCACACCTAGGGAAGAGAGGCACAGAATAGAGCTTGGCTGTGCACTTTTTCATAATGACCACAGATCCTAGGACGAAGAATGCCAGGAAATGTGTTAGTTATCCTAAGGAGCTTGACTACAGAAGTACCAAAGTTATACTGACCTAACTGGCTCTGTAAATGCCCAAAAGAAAGCAACTTTTATGTAATTACTGTCAAGTGATTGCTCTGTAGATGTAGGACTGAAACACAAGGCTTGGTAAGTGCAATGAGAACTTAGATGCACTTAGCCATAGACCTGTGGTCTGTGCAATTATGGAAAAGGCTGTTCATGTAGTTAAACTCCAGATATATTTGCCTCAGACCCCGCTATTCTGAAATGTACCCTTCTGAAGAGCACCCAGAGCTACATATCCATGGACGTTAAAAATCTTATCCTTTGGGTGACACAATTTTGAGATCTGCACTCTCACATTAGCCCACCTTCCAAGGAAAAAGGCTGCATGGAGATAATCTTTTTTCTACCGATGCTCCAAACTGTCCTTGTAGGATACTGGCACAACTGCATGCATCATAGGTGAATGCACCCAGGAACTCTTGAGATTGAGCATCGTTTTCTTCCTGCAAAGAGCCACATGTGAAGATAAAAGTCAGTCCCAAAAGAAAATAAGAAGATGAAGCATCAGAAATGTAATTCATCCCTGGAGAGGAGTGTGCAGCTCCCACATGTGGGTCCAGGTGCTGACAGTCCTGCACATGGAGATGTAACTCACAGCTCTGGAATCCCAAGCTGGAATTTGCTCTGGGATATGTCACTGAAAACTCGGTGTGCCTGGCTGGCCTGCTGCCACCTGGAGAGCAGTGCCTCCTGGCAACTCAGAGCCAGGTGGGTCACGCTTCAGGCAACAAAGTACTTACGGTAGTACTCCTGCGGGTAACAGCAGCTAAGGGTAGTTAGGATTGGACATTTTCCAAAACATCTGGAGCAACTGAGCCTCTTAAACCAAGCCTGCCCAGTGCTGTGGTTGTGATATGGGACTATTATACAGATGTCTGTATACTGGATTAGATATTCATAATTAATTGCAAGAGTGTATGATTGCTTGAGCCAAATATGTGCTCCTAATCCTTCCTCTGCATCTTTTTACTTTCTTATCTCAACGATGTCCTAATGTGAAGTGCTGCAGGCCAACACACAAAGTGTCTAGCAGCTGGAACTCACCTGCACTTTCCATACTTACATATCTACCTTAATAATAAGGACCCGGTAGCTAGTTTTCCACCCTGCTGGGCACCAGAATGACAGGGTCTTCCAGCCTCCACAAGAGTTAGTACTGACACACCTTTTTACTGGAAGTTTGCTTTGCTGTGGGCATCAGTCTAACAGAATTTATCCTGCATAGTCTGGTAATACCCAGTGTTTCCACAGAGCATGCAGAGGCTGGAACTTCAGTAAGAAGATTCTTCTTTTTTTTGCCATTTAGACTTGGTAAACTACAGATGAATCCTTCTCAGAAACAGTTTACCTGACTAATAACAACATCCTACATTCAATGTACTAGTCACATAGAGATTGCCATGTTGTAAGTAGCAAAAAAATGTAAATGACTATCATATGAAGTGCTTATGAGAGTCTCCAGAATGATGTCCTCTTTGAAATACTGTGGGTAATGCTGGAGCTGATACTGTGCCTTCTTTCCAACTCTGCCAAAATAATTTCAACCCCATGTAAGAAGTCTTGATTCCTACTAAAATTAAAAAAAAAAAAAAGTGTGGTTAGTAGCACTTTCCTCCCTTATTAAGAACTTTCACCTAAATTTAAGTATTTTTGCTAAGTTGATTCTTCATTGCAAAGAAAGTAGTAGATACTAAATAACAGCAATGGCCTTTATTGCTGTAGCAACAAGACACGGAAGTATTAAAATGCCCTCCCCATACATGCTCATTTAATGAAAAAGTGAGTATATGTGATAATGAAGGAAAAGAGGAAAGTTGCAGGAGGAGAGTTATAACATACTAAAATATTTTCTCAAATAGTCTAGTTGTGAGATAATTTTAGAAGGGAACTGCCTATATTCTCTCAAAACTCAGAAATAGTATCTTAATTTGCTAGAAATGTTCAGGAAAATTGTATTTCATGAAAGTTCAAGTTTCCTCAAGTGGACTACTGTAGTAGGAGACCATCCTTCCCAACCATGTGCCATCAGAAAGTGTAACTTGCATATTACATTTCTTCCAGCAGGAGTTTCAAATAGTAACAAAACCCAGTTGTGATTATTTAGCTTTACATTTTCTAAAATCTCTATTCTTGTAGAGTTTGGATTTCCCTTTTTAAAATACAGATGAAGTCTAATCCATAGGAAAGTATTTTATTAGTGTTATCCATACATAAAAATAACAGAAAATGGAACCTCAAAAGAATATACTGTATTGAGCACAAGTGCTTCAGCTGCTTGAGTAAGGGGCCCAGTCCTGGGCCTATGTATGAACTTGCATAAGTCATTTTATCTCTGTGTCTCTGTCTACCCACCAGAAAATGAGTGCAACGTGCTTCATACTACAGAAGAAAAGAAAGAATTGAAATTTGCAAAGTTTTCTGACAACATTTGATGAGATTGGAAATCTGAAGCTTTGCAAATGATGGAAACATCTGAAAATCTTGTTGCCCTTCATTATCATGTGATGAAAAACTAATGTTCCCTATCAAATGTTGCTTGCACTGATTGAGAAAGGTGAAGTCTGCAAAGCTGCATTTTTTTAGAACTGCTAATAAGCAACACTTTACTTAGATCCTGTGAACTATCAATCTTTGACAAAGGCTTAGCACTTATAGAGAAATCTAGTTAAACACAGAGAGAGAGAATATTTTGCATGTATTTTGAAGTTTATTTTTCTCAATAATTTTTAGGTCAAAAGTGTTGTACATAACCAAGAAGTGCACAGCACTGAATTTATCACTTTGGCTAGCACAGCTCAAAGAGGGACAAGGAGACTACCTACATACTTCTGTGTAGAGTATATAACGTCCATTGGTAACACCTGTGTAGCAATCTAAGTGTAAATAAAATCTGTATCATCCTCAGCTATGTCAAGTGTACTCTGTGTGTATATACAAGATCAGAAAAATAAATGCCTTTTTTTTCTTATATACACTATAAAACATGAGAATAAAACCTGAAATAGTTTGCAGTAACTTAGATGAGACTGAACTTTCATGATACAGAGCTTTAGAATCACTTGCTCAGCATTTTTTGTCTTGCACCATTGTGATAAAGAAGTTGCAGAAAGAAAGCAAGCTTTCTGGACAGTATTCCTCAGCCACCTTTTTCTGATCAATATAATCTATGTCTTCAACACAGTCTTGAGGACTGTGTTCAAGCTTTTTTTTGGTCACAGAGGCAGCTGCTGGAGTCTGAACAACTTCTTTTGCATGATGAGTTGTGTTACCTTTTGCAGGACCCACTGATGTTAGTAGGCTTGAGACAGTCAACTTGAGATGAGCACTTCGTGGGCCTTTCCTACATACTTTAGATTTTAGGACACTTTTGGGGTCTTGACAGATCTGCTTCTGCTTCTTTAGGGATCGGGAAACTTGCTTCCAGTAGGATTTCTGGTTTGCTGCATACTGTGGACAGGTGGAAGGGTCTCCAGAGAATTCGCACCAGAACTCTCTGTCACCATGCTTGCACTCTACGTGCATTGTAGCAGCATTCATTGCAGTCACTGCCCAGGTACACTCAGCATTTTCTTTGGTTTTAAACTTGCCTTTTGGAGATGCTTTTCCTCCTTTTGACTTCAGCCCTTTTCCATTTTCTTGATTAGATTCCGTTTTTTTTCCACTGTTTTCTATACCTTGTCTTCCCTTTTTTCTTTCCTTTGGTCTTTCACAGTTGGCTAGTAGAAACTGGGAGACCAGAATCAACATACAGAGAAGTCCAAAGCTTTTGATCCTCATGGTCTCGTTTTGCTTGTTATCTGCTTTCAAAACAAAGAAAAAACCAAAAAATATAAAAACATTTTCACTCAATTTCACTCCATTTTACAGTTGCAGTATTTCAGACATGGTATTGCACTGCTCTTTGGTACCTATTAAAATAATATTAACAGCAAAATCTTCTGTCCTTTGTGTGGATAATACCTGGTTTCTAGAACCATTATGTATTATCCTTGAGAACTGTAAATGGCTATGGAGTAAGTCTTTCTGATCCAATGACATAATTATCTATGCAATGTGGAACACAAAAGAGTGACTCCGAGGTCGTGCTGCTGCCCAGTGAGTGAGTTACTTTAATTAAAATCTCTTCTGCAGTCAGAGAAGGAATTTGAACCTGGGATTTGTTAATCTCGGCTGGATATCTTAAGTTATAATATATAAAGCAGTTGTTCCCATGATCTCCCATTTTGTAAATGGCACATAAGTGATTTTTGACTCCAACCTCTGGCTATTCTTCAAAAATATGTCAGACAGAAAGGAAACCATTTGGTTCAAGCTGAGCAAAATTATTTCTTAGGCATCCTGAAAGTTGTTTTAATTTACTGGTTATGTCAGTATTTCAGTTTTCTGTTGAAAAAAAAAATAATAATAGTCTTTCCAGATACCAAAAAGTAACGATGCATTCTTTGCTGCCTTGACTGCTAAACAAACAGAACTATCTTTTTGCTTTTGAAGACACCTGCAGTGTACTGGTCTGTGTCTAAAGCTGCCAAATTCAAGGGACAAATATCCAACTTCAGTTTTGAAATGTAGCTAGTCAGCAAATTATTATCAAGCTGATCCATGCATTAGCACAGAGTACCTTTCTTTCTGTAGGTGCTTCTCTTTATGAAGTAGCCTTCAGGATCAGAACATACTGAAGTGGAGGGTTTAAATCTGCCATTTAATTGGTTAAATCCTTAAATGTATTTTTCTGATGTTTCCATTATTGTAATTTCTGTAGTCAAATTTCTGTGTTAGAAAGCAGAAATTCATGTGTAGGCACATTAATAAGGAACCTATTTCCACACTCAACTATCTGCAAATATCTTTAGTTACTTAAATTTAGAATCTAGAATACATAGGTAGCAGCAGATGTGAGCAAGTCCTACTTCTACATAGTTCTTACTTGACTTGCTTCATGTCTTATACTATACACAGAGATTTTCATTCCAGAAAACCCTCTTTAGAGAACATCATATAGTATTTACAGTTCTGTTGCAAATACAGCACCTAATAACATTAGAATAAATAATGGTGTGACAGTAACCTGTTGCAAGTGGAACAGTGCAAAAGTAAGATAACTAAAAGACATACCTTGCACGGGCTTGGAGATATCCAAATGCACCTCCTGATGCAACTCCTCTCTTTCAAAAGAATCAGAGCTAGTTGTAAAAACAGCATGGTATTTATAAAGGCAGAGACACACCTTCAGGTCTCCAGCAAGACTTAAAACACAATAGGATACTTCAGTGCCCTGTTCGTTTGCCTCTGACACACCTCCTTGGAAAAGTGCCAGTTCTCATTCTTGGCACAAAAAACCCCCACAGCTATGGTGGGGTGACAAGGTGTGTATGTGTAAATTAGATGTTACTTTAGCCAAGTCCTTCCCTCTTTAGGAACAATGATAAGAACTTGATTAGATCATGAGCTTCTCTAAAAGAGCTTTTCCCAGACACCAAGGGATGTATCCTGAAATACCCTCAACGTTGCACTACCACCGTGTTCAGCAGAATTTGGGAAATAGTGTGAAGTGAAAAGCATTTCACAAAGCATTTCAAAGTTACCTTTTGAGCATTTTGTTACCTCCTGTCACAAAAAAAAAAAAAAAAAAAAAAAAAAAAATGTATTGGAGAACATTTAAAAATCAAAAGAAATCATTATTCTATATTAAGGACAGTGTTCATTATGTTGAGATGGTCATAAGCACAAAGTTCGGAAACAAATTCAAACACCCTCAGAATTAGTGACTCTATGGGCTCTAAGAGCTGAGATCAATTTCACAGGACTGATCTATGCTCCTCCCTCTCTGCCAGCTTCTGTGTATGTAAAGAAGTGGGTTACATCATGAGTTTTCATTATGGGACCATGTCTAATGCATATTAACCTGAAAAAGATAATGACAGGGAAAGAACAAGCATTAGACAAATATAAAAATGCATTCAGAGCTAAGAATAGGCACCCCTTAAAGAATAAATAGAGCAGTTACTACCTTTGTTGCTCAGTTGCTTCAAGTGTTTTTGCTGGAGAAATATAAGTGGGACATTTGTTATATGCTTGGGAAATACAAGAATAAAAGGTGGGATGCAGGAAGAGATGAAAGTAAAAACTGGTGTAAGATATAGGCAGGTCTTCCTCTTTGTCTCTTTCCCATCAGATATAAATGGAATGAGACAAAGGGACAAAGCTATTGGCAAGGCATTGTCTGGACTGGTTCGGCAATGAGGAGACTGTTAACTTTCTGTAAAATCAGAAGCCAAAAAAGGAAGAAAAACTGTAATTCTGCAATGAGTACATGACAGACATGCAGGGAATGGGATTCACTTACCTGAAATACTAAGAGTCTGATCTGCATACCAGGACTGTCTCCTAATCTATCTATGTATGTTCCTTTAATGCTTTCTGATCGAGTTGAGCCATTAGATCTGCCCTGTGTGCCTTTGATTGGCATGAATTAGTATTAAACTATTTGCAACAGTCCACTAAGTGTGAAAGATTTGTGGTTAGCACTGGCTCAGGGATCAGAAAATGTTTAACAATGTGTCAGGTTGGATGGGAATCAGAGGAGAAGGATAATGAGAGTTAAGTAAGGAAGGGACTATCTTGCTCAGGAATCCTAAACTAACACCACATAGCAGGCACAGTATCATCTGGAGTATTACCATTTAGCAGGGATCCTCAAAACTGCAGCTGCATCCATGTGGTTATGTGCCCTAGCTAATGAGCCTCTCATTAGGTCTAATTTCTTTGAGGACAGCTTCAAGCCAAAGTGGCTATATTACCGCAGGTTCTGGCACGAATTCAGGTATGGTTTTTATCATGCCCCATTACATTGTGTAAGCATACTATAATGTGGTCAGCAGGTCGAGGGAGGTGATTCTCCCCCTCTACTCTGTTCTTAAGACCCCACCTGGAGTGCTGTGTTCAGCTCTGGGGGCACCAACATAAGAAGAATATGGACCTGCTCAAGTGGGTCCAGAGGGGAGCCATGAAGATGATCAGGGGTCTGCAGCACCTCCCTTATGAGGACAGGCTGAGGAAGCTGGGGTTGTTCAGCCTGGAGAAGAGAAGGTTCTGGGGAGACCTTATAGTGGCCTTCCAGTACTTAAAGGGGGCTACAGGAAAGATGGGGAGGGACTCCTGATCAGGGAGTGTAGGGATAGGATGAGGGGTAACAGTTTTAAACTGAAAGAGGGTAGATTTAGATTATACATAAGGAAGAAATTCTTTATTGTGAGAGTGGTGAGACACTGGCACAGGTTGCCCAGAGAAGCTGTGGCTGTCCCCTCCCTGGCAGTGTTCAAGGCCAGGTTGGACGGGGCTTTGAGCAACCTGGGCTAGTGGAAGGTGTCCCTGCCCATGGCAGGGGGTTGGAACTAGATTATATTTACGGCCTCTTCCAACTCAAATCAATCAGTGATTCTATGATTCTACAGAGATGGATTTTTTGCGACAGATCAGGGCGTTGGCTCTGGCATATCACCAACCCACCCCCACCCCCCCAAGCCACTAACACACACCTCTCTACTGTGGCTGACAAAGATCGACAAATAGGGAAGAGAGGAAGGTTACAAAATATGTAAGGAACCACAGGTAACAGCACCAAGCACAAGGTTTGCAGTAATGTTCCTGTCCCACAGACTTTTGCAGAGATAATCACTAGGAGATGACAGATATTCTTTACCTGGAAAGGGAATATTCTTGTATTGATGTTGCAATTAATTTTTGTTGATGTCTACAAGATACCATTTACTGGTGAAACTAATCACAATGTATTGAAAAGAATTAAGCCCTCAGCCATTCATCATTTCCAAAATTCCCTATTTTGACAGCTTTGCTTCACAACATAGGTTTCATTGTCAGTCTCAGTTCAGCTGCCCTATTGTCGATGGACCATTTCAGCGTAGTCTTTCTGCTTCATAAAAACAGGGGAGACAGGGAGAGAAAAGGCTGCACAAGAGAAGATTTGCCTTTCTGCTGCTTCGATATTCCCTCCCTGAGGTTGTGGCAGACTGGACACGTTAGCTCTTCCCATCTTTAGTATGCAGAAACTTCTGTAGAGAATTCTGCAAGTGCTTGCTGATAAGGAGCAGTTACATCTTTGAAATGATCTGTCTTGACTCAGCTGAACCTTTTGCCTAACCTGCTTAGATGATTTCAAAATTCCAGTAAACCAAGATTTACCCACTTAGGTGCATAGATTCTTAGTCTATAGAGGCTGGCTTGGATACCCTGCAGTTTTATTGACATGCCCCCAGAATATCTTTCTGGTTTGTTTTAATTAGACATGAGCTGATGTTTTATGGATGCCTTTTACCTACCTGGGCATATAGTGCATATTCATACTGTACCCCAATAATCCAGCTGGAAGCTGCCTGATCAGGTGATCAGAACATTTGTTTTCTTCAACTTTCATCTTGAAAAGAAAACACACACAATTAAAGTAGAACCTTCATTTCTTAAGTGCTTGATTAGCACTTAATTGCCAACAAAAAATTGTGGCAAAAACTTGTTTGCAATATGATTTTGAAGAAAGTTGGTTTGGGTTTTTTTTTTTCTTTCTATCATGTACATTTAAAAAAATACCTTGGTCTTGCCCTCTGCTGAGCTTAAACACTGTTTGCTTGTAAACTGCAGACCATTTTGCTGCAGAGCAAAAAGCGCAGACTAGTAATTGAAATACAATTCAATCCATGCAACCTATGGCAAGACCCAAATTTATGGGGAGCTGTTTAGTTATTAAAATAGGAAGGCACCGAAAACATTGGCAACACTAGCAAATAAAAGCAATCATTGAGAATTAAAAACATGGAAGCCCAGATCCCAATGTGAGTTTTGTAATGAAAATCTTAATACAGACATACTCCTGGTGCCTTTTCACTGAAACTTGAGAGAGTTAATCAGCATTTAAAAATTTTCATTAGTTATAATTAAATCTAGCTGGTGTCTTTCTGCTGTTCAAGCAAAGAGAGGAAAAGGTTTCATCCCTATTCCTAACTATGATTCATTGATGTGGAAGAAGTGCAGTATTTTCTAAGTTAGTCCTTATTGCTGCTTATACGTTATCCTCAAATTATATATATATATATATATATATATATTTATATAGGAAATTATTATCAATTGAACTATTAGTTGCATTGGTGCATTATTTGCAAACTGCAGTTTGCTTGTGGTGTCGTCTATGTGACATTGTGAGGCTCCTGTTCATTTATAGTTTTTTTCCTCACAGAATAAAAAGTTAATTTTATATATAAAATGTGAAAAGTTAATTTAAATTTCAAATAATAAATGATCAATGAATTCCCTTGACCACCTACAAGTGTGGCTCCATATAAGAATACCAGCTATCTGTTAGTCATACGTGTAGACATCAGGACGTTGTTCTCTGTGCAAATGCTTAGACAGAGTGAATTGAAACAGATCCTGCATCAGTGAAGTGAACAGCTGCTTACATTTCAAATTAATGTCTGTGAGTATTGGTCTGCAGCAGTCAAGCAAGCCTGCTGATGGAGAGTGACTCACTGCATCAGGTAAGATTCCAAGGATAGAAAAGGTGGACTTGATTTAAACAGAACTGTAGGGACATGTGTAGAATCAGTCCCTCTGTCACAATACTCCTTTTAGCTTAAACAGTCTGCACACAGGCTTCCTTGGAAACTGTGTCACTGGCACACTGTACCTCACAGCAGTTCTCTAGAGTGAGTTTGCACTTTGTTAAAAGAACAGGAACAGGCATGTGTATTATAAACTCACTTTCTACTTTTACATATACACCAGAAGTGAATATATATTTGCTGCAAGACCTGAAGAAAGAATTACATTAAGCACTCTACTTCCAGAGTTCCTTTAAAACTTACCAGCCCAAATAAATGGATGATGTTAAGATGCATTTACTATCAGAGGTGGGAGGTTGTGGAGTTTCTTTTGTTTGTTTTTAATGGGACTAGCATTCCAGGTGTTCCCTGCAAGTAAATAAATACCATGAATGTATGTAAACCAGACATTTTCAGTGTATAGGTCCACACATGATTAATATGCTGTTCTTACCATAATTAAAACAGACTAGCCTGCTCATGTACTGTTTACTAATGAAATAAAATCATGTACAGGCTGTAGCTGTACACCATTTTGCTGAAGATACCTGCTGAAAGACTAAGTGCATTAACAAAAGACTAAGTGCATTAACAAATATGGCAGTCATACCCCTAGCTCCAAGTTCAATACCATTTTTACTGTGCCAGTGGGTTTTTTTCCGGCACCTCACTTTCACACCTAGATAAATAAGCTTCAGGCAAGTAACTTGTAACTTTATTTCCTTTTAAATTCTGTGAATCTAGTATTTACAAAAGACAGTAAGCCAACAGCCCTAATGCTGAAGTCCTTTTACATAGCAACAAAAAGTTGTCACACAGGTAGTGGCACCAATACCAACTTTTCTGTATCCCTCTGCCTGTGCACAACATTTCAGAAGAATATTCCATAGCCTTCTGGAATTTCTCTGGAAGAGGCTAGTTAATTTAAAATGTGGTGATGGTTTCTGTGCACTGAGATCTGTTTACTATTTTACATGGAGGCATAATTATTTGAAAGGAGATTGAAGAAAAGTCATCGGTTAACAAAAATTTTTAGTTAGTTCTGACCTGGAGTTAAATTCATATTAGTTAAATAAATAAGAATTAAAGGCACCAGATTATCTCTTCACTGAGTCTTTAACAGTGTTCAGTTGTTTCACAAACTGGACAAAACTGACAACTGAATTTGGCAAAACAGTATCCAAATGAAAATCAGTATCATGAAACCTAAATAAGCAAGAAACAAACAAATGATGACTTTAAATTAATCACAGAACAACAGAAACTGTATGACTGCACTAATAAGCTAATAAAAGAAGAGCACCTTACAAGACTAAATGGTAAGGTTATTTTATAGCAAACTTCAGTTCATGCTGAGGTTCCCATTTGCAGATGCTCAGACATTTCCTTTAAGAACTAAATTCCTGAAACGCTAGTAAATTAAGTGAACATTTCTTCTTCATACAATGGTTATCTATGAGTGAATCTAACAGCTTACTCATTTTATCCATCATTTATAGCCCTAATATTACTGATTACCTTCCTCACCTATGAATTCCACAGTTTTTACTTGCAGTGTTATTCTTCATTTACTTGTTCCATTATGTCGGCAATATTTTGGTTAAAATATCCTGAAATTCTTTACTGCCAAGGTGTAGTTTCTCTTTAGCAGAGGTATAACCCTGTTGGCTCCCAGCTCATACCTGGCAGCCATCAGTTGTTCATCTATTAGCTAGCTGCTTATTGAACACATTCTAGCTTGCAGTCAGAAAAGAAGAATGTGTTTTCAGACCTTCAGAGCATTGCTTTATCTTGGCAGGCAAGGACAGCAGTGTTTTCAGAAAAATATAAGTGGTTTTAATTAACCCAAGGAGATCCAAGTCAGTGATGGAGCATGACCATTAGGAATGTTTCTGAAATCATGAGGAAATCCCTCTTCTTTCTTTAGATAATACTGTGGACCACATGTATAACAGTAGACAGAAACCTTCCGTGCCAAATGGAGTTTACAGCGTACTTTGCCTTGGCAAGAGGAGACCGTCTGAATTCAAATGAGAATAGGAAAATTTGAGATGCCTCCTCTCAATTTTATTGTGAAAGTATGGCGAACCAACCTTAACAAAAGTTTGCCTTGATTTTGAAACAATTCAAAGACAAGTATAAATAATTGCCATTGCTAACTAAACTTGATTATCCTTTTCTATAAAGGAAGTTAAATGAAGATATCATGATAAAGATGAGTTACTACACAACAGTTGATGGAAAACATATCCCAATCTAAGCAGATCCTAAGATTTTGGTCCCTGCATGTTTGCATCTGATAATGCTACAGGATCACCAAAGAAGAGATGGGATTTGATAGATACAAAGAAGTCTGGGGTTTTTTCTTCTTTAAGATTTAGCTTCCGCAGAATACAAAGGCTATATTTTATTAAAAAAAAACCAACATAATTTTGGAAGAAAAATCAGGTAAAACAGAAGGATACCATACCATAATACGTATTTCATACTGATTTTTTCTATATCAGGAAGAAATTAACCTCAGAATCCAATTTTTACATATTATAATTTAATTTTGGCTGTAATGGAAGTTATCACTTCCCTATCTCAATCACAGATTCTCAAAGCACAATCATTTCATTGTCCTGTGGTTTTATTTGAGCAGGCTGGCTGCTTGATTTATTAACACAGATTCACTATGTTCAGGGTATGCTCAAGTTCTTTTGGCAGCCAGGGGAAACAACTGTTGACTAATTGCCATCTTAGTCTGCTAAGACTTTCATAGCTTAGAGCAATGCAAGAGCCTGTCTGTCTGACCAAAAAAGTTTCAGAAATACAATCAGACAAAGGATTGCTCTCTTACAGAGGAATAATATGAGTAAAATAATAAAAAGATGCCACTGTAAATTACTGCCTACCATTAGACTGGAGTCTACCCAGAGTAATGGCAAGTCATGCGTATCTGTGAGAAGGAAGAATCTGACACATTACATGAAATCATCAGACATGTATCACTAGAAAACAAGGGACTGTCTTATGGGTAGTGCTGTTTACCATAAGCACTAAGCTTAAAGCTTCAATCAAAAAATTCATTCAGCTGTCATGAATGCCTGATCTCTCATTAAAGCAGTGCAGTAAAATATTCCCGTATGCTTATTCAGATGACTAGCTGAAAATTCTTTGCATTAAGGCAATAGTGGTAGAGTTACTACAGGCATACAAGAGTAAGATGAGATTCAGCCCACTTCTAGGTGTAATTCACCTTTTCATAAAGGTAAGATTTTTTTTCTTAGTGGGAAATTTAAATAACTTAGGCATTTATTCTGAGGTATACACAGTGGTCTCCATTTAATTACTTCCTTTACAGGTAGCAAAAATTTTAATTGCTCCTACATAGGTGAATGGAACCAAGATCAGCTGATGGTTATGAACATTTCAAATACTGACTAGATCAGTGGTGAATTTCTTCCACACCTTGTTGTGGTTGCAGAGTGATAAAGGATGAACATGAATGGAGTTGAAGACAGAGTGTGTATGGTCCAGGAAGTGGTATATTAGAAAGACATTCTTTCCTAGCTGCTGACCACTTTTTTTGAGGCTTCTGTAAACCACATCTGATCTGAACTGATAGAATCAACAGTATTTTTTCAAGGAAGATGCAGCAATTATTGTTTCTACTTTTTAATTTAAGCAGTCAAAGCAACTTAGATATCCTTTTCCTTCCCGTTTTTCTCTAATGTAGTCCTGGTAAGAATAGACAAACTTTCAAAAGTCCATTTTTTATATCAGTGATAATTCTGGTCTTTGTTCATTTTCAGGATCATTTCCATAAAGCTTAAAGCTGTTCTGTAAATAGATGAAGCTGTACCAACAAAGTATAGATGTGTACACATACACAAATGTATATATAATAAAATAAGCATTGAAAGCTTTTCTCCCATTATAGTTCATTAATATTAGTGGGTTTATTTGTAGATTTGTTGAAATAATGGGTGCAAATATGTGTGTGGAGAGAGAATAGATGGATCTACCTTGACTAAGAAAGGATATTGTGTAAACTCTTGTATGAGTTTATCAGTGCCTGTCAATTTTGTGAGTTTTAGCACTGGCTCCAAGCACAGTAAGATGTTTCTAGCACTTGCTATGCAATAAACATTCATTTCAATTACACTTTTTAAATATAGCAGGAAAACTGAAACAGGAATCAACATATTGTTCCAGAAAAAGGAAACCAGGAATGGAAAACCAGGGACTTTATGGCGTAGGAGATTGTGCTGAGTCTGGCTGGGATGGAATTATTTTTTTTATAGCAGCCCATATGGTGCTGTGTTTTGAATTTGTGACTAGAACAGTGCTAATAACACACGGATGTTTTAGCTATTGCTAAACAGCATTAAGGCCTTCTCTGTTTCTCACTCTGCTCCCTCTCCAGCAAGTAGGCTTGGGCTGGGCAAGAGATTGGGAAGGGACACAGCCAGGACAGCTGACCTCAGCTGACCAAAGGGACCTAAGGGATATTCCATACCATAAGACATTGCACACAGCAATAAAACTGGGGATAGTCCTTCTGGATAGCTGTTGCTTGGAGACTGGCTGGGCATCAGCCTGCTTGTGAGAGGTGTAGAGTGAATGTCTTTGCATCACTTGTTTTTGTTTTTGTTTTTTTTTCTCTTCACTTATTAAGCTGTCTTTATCTCAACCCACATTTTTTTCTCTTTTGCTCTTCTGATTCTCTCCTCCATCCCACTGGGGAGTGGGAGCGAGTATCTGATGGATACTGCATTGCTGTCTGGGGTCAACCCACCACAGAGACTTCAATTCTGCAAACAGCTAACAGAAATTTTTATTTTGGTGGATTCCAGTTGGAAAGAAACCAACAGAGAGTTCAGTCCATGTGCAGAACTTCCCCTTTGCTAAAAATACTGATGGCTAAAGCTATACTGATACCATCACGGCTCCATGCCTCTAAACAACAACAGTTATCACAGCAAACACAACAAGAAGGTACAGTCACAGTTGTGACAACTCCTTTGCTGATTCAGATTACTACATTTGAAGAAACTAATTCAAATACATGGAAAATGTGATCTCACAAGCTATGCCTCCATGAGCCATGCCAGCCGCCATAGCCTGACCTATGGACTGACAGGATTAGCCGTAACATTTATCCTCCATAATCTTTGGGTTATCCTTGAAACATAGTATAAGCATCCTTTAAATGCACTTGGGCTTTAAGGCTCAAGAGCTCACATCGGAAGGGCCTCTCTGAAGTCCTGCTGAAAGCTCAGCAAGTCAGAAGAATGACTATAAAGGTCTGTATTTCACACCTACTGTGTGAGCTGGTAGCTCTCAGCATTTTCATCTGACATAAGTCTCTGAAGGCACAGAGAAAGGACAAAGGGAATGGACAAATCTTATCTGCCATTTGCATTTTACTGAGATCAGCATATTTGGGTATATAGTGAACAGAAGCCATTAACAAAGAAAAAGTTTCTTGACCCATCTTTCCAAGTTCTATTGGAACTTGTTATGTTTAGCAAAAGCTGAAAGGACATGCATTCCTCAGCATTTATGATAGATTTGGGTTTTGCTCAGTTAACCTAGAGAAGATATGATGTGTCTGACTATATTCTTTCAAAACTTGTTTTTTTTTCTTGGATCATTTCTAACTCTACAGCTCCTCCATGTGGAGATCATTAAAAACCAAGAAATTTATAATCCTAAACACTAGGTACTAATAGATTTTTTTAATGCATTTGAAGAGGACTAGCAGTATTCTAAATATTCAGGACATTTTTAAGAGGCATTCAGCCCAGACAGAAACACATCTTCTGAAAACAGTTGAAAAGCAGTGCAGTAATTCATACATCAGAATGCCACTGCTAATGCTGCAGCTTTACAATTCCAATTGTAGACTAAATTAACTTTTCCTCTGTTATCACATGAATTACACAAACTAAATTTTTACTCATGTTTAATTCTATATGTTCCTGTGTACCTGTACAGGAATCTCACATCTATGTCCTACTTAATGCTATCAGAGAATTTGGGGATTTTCTCCTTTATGTTGGTAAAGAGGACCTAAATCCTGGCTAACTAACCTGCT